TACGGGCTTCTCTGTTCTCTTTCCTCCAGCCGAGGTTGGTTTAGAGCCAAACTTGGTGAAGCAATCAATAGCTCGGTGCCCTCCTTTCTGCATCTGAAGCATGCTGTTGACCCAGTCTTGGCTTTGGCAGCTCTAGGGGCCTCTTTTGAGGCAGAGGAGGAAGGCTTGCTCCAGCTGCCGCCCCCCTGGTGCCGGTTTCTGGCCAGATCAATTTCCACATCCGCTGCCAACACATACCAGTGCTGAAGGTCTCGAGAAACAGTGTTGGTAGACATCCTCATTAAGGCCCCACCCGCATGTGGCAAGCCAGCTCGCAAAACTCCTGGGTTAGGGATTTCATCCTGGTCCTAGCCATACACTTAGCTAGGGGGTCTTTGAAACGTGCCCGGAGGGCCATCATAAACACATCATAATCCCTTAGCTGTGGGGAATCCTCATTATGAAGGCCCACCATCCATTCAGCTGCGGTCCCTTCCAGGGCCATGGTGACGCATCTAACTTTTGCTGCTTCTGAAGCAAAGTCCTCCCCATACTCCTGCATGTAATTCCAGAGTTGGGCTAAGAAGAATTCAGAGCGTTGGGATCCCTTCCGTATTTTACCCCTAGTGGAAGAATCTTTGGAATTCGGTGCCTCTGGGGGACTATCCCTCCACGGGGGGAGGGGGGGATGCCGCTGCCGCTTGAGCTCCAGAATTTCTTTGCTTACCTGATTTCCAGCTCCATTGTGTTTCTCACTACCCTGTGCAGGGAAACGAAAGTTTATGTGGGACTAAAAAAATGTTCAATCAATTCCAACTTCTCGCATAAGAAAAGGATTGCACAAAGTTGGGATTGTGTGAAATTTTTTTTAGCACCACACAAACTTTTCTTTCCCTGCACACGATGGCAAGAAACGCAATGGAGCTGGAAATCAGGTAGGAAAAGAAACGCTTGGGGAATTTGCAGAAAGCGAGGGCATCTGGGCGGTTGGTGGATGGGGAAAGCTTTGTGGCGTGGCGCAGCATTCAGCCAATGGTAAGGTGACCAGATTTTCAAATTGGTAAAGAGGGACACCTTTGACCGGGTGGGGTCAAAGGGGGGGGGAGGGAGCTGGCCGCGGCGGTTACTCCCAGCCCGCGGCCTCGCTAGGGACGTCTGGTCACCTTAATTATACACATCCTCTCTCTCTCTATCCATCCATCCATCCNCACCTGAGGGTAGAACAAGAAGCAATGGTGGAAACTAATCAAGGAGAGAAGCAACTTAGAGCTGAGGAGAAATTTCCTGACAGAACAATTAATCAGTGGAACAACTTGCCTCCAGAAGTTGTGAATGCTCCAGCACTGGAGTTTTTAAGATGATGTTGGATAACCACTTGTCTGAAGTGGTGTAGCGTTTCCTGCCTGTGCAGAGGGCTGGACTAAAAGACTTCCAAGGTCCCCTCCAACTCTGTTATTCCAGTCCACACGTACTTTCTATAATAGCTAACTCATATGCTCATGCCACTACATAGTTGTAGTTAGTGCTTGTTGTTAGTCTGAGGATAATTATATTTTAGCCTGGAACCTTAATATCTCTTAGAAGAATTGCATTTTTACACTGCCATTATTTTACACAACAAAATATTGTCTTAATTTTATTAGTAAGTAGAAAAAGTTGTAATATAGGAAAAAAGTTATAATATGCTACATTCTGACATACTAAGGGTATTTTGGACAACTTTAACAACATTACTTCAGGTTACTGAGGTTGTGTGAAGTCATACTGTTTCAGTTGAATAGCTACATAAAACCTACATTGCATTCAGACCTCCTTCACTTTTGTCAATTTTGTTATGCTGCAGTTTGATTATTCGGTTGTTGAAATTCATTTTTTTCTCATGAATCTACATTCAGTACCCCATAATGACAAAGTGAAAACAGAATTTTAGAAATATCTATAAATTTATTGAAAAGAAAAACCTGAAATATCACATTGGCCTAAGTATTCAGACCCTTTGCAACAACATATGAAATTTAGCTCAGAAGCCTCCTATTTCTCTTGATCACTGTTGACATGTTTTGACACCTTAATTGGAGTCCACCTGTGGTAAATTAAATTGATTGGACAGGATTTGGAAAGGCACATATCTCTCTATAGAAGGCATCACAGCTGACAATGCACACTGTAGCAGACCAAAACCCATGAGATCAAAGAAAGTTTTCCACTTAATCCCTTTTTCTGATTCTAATGCGGTAGTAAGACCAACTTTGTGAAAATCCTCCCCTTTGCCAAATGGGCTAGCATATCCTTCATGAGGGGAAGGGAGTACATATTTTCCATGCAAACAGTGTTCAGAGATCTATAATCGATGCAGAGACCATATTTTTTTCTCTAAACAGAACTGGGGCGGCCACCTGACACTGCCTGCGGAGCTCAAAGACAGGATTATTGCAAGGCACAGATCTGGGAAAAGCTACAATAAAATTTCTGCTGCACTGAAAATTCCTAACAGCACAGTGGCCTCCATAATTCTCAAACAAAAGTAGTTTGGCACAAGCAGGACTCTTCCAAAAGCTGGTTGCCCTGTCAAACTGAACAATCGGGGGAGAAGAGAGGTAACCAAGACCCCAAGGATCACTCTGACTGATCTCCAGTGATACTGTGTGGAGATGGGATAGTTTCTAAAGGACAACTATCATAGTAGCCCTCCATCAATCTGGGCTTTATGGCACAGTGGCTAGTTGGAAGCCTCTCCTCAGTAAAAAACACATGAAAGTGGGCTTAGTTTGTTCCTCACTATCGGAGAGTTCCTCAGGTGCTTTTTTGCGAACTCCAAGTGGGCTTTCAAGAAATCNGCCAATCAGTGAGCGGCAGGCTGGGCTGGCTTAGATTTTTAATGTAGATAGAATAGATGGGGAACGGAACGAGCGAGCTAGCGGCAGCTGATGATGGGCGGGGGAGCCATCGAGCGCCAAAATAAAGCGGGGTTTTTTGAGAAGCAGGCGGGATGCGGGAAAAATGATGAAAAGTCGTGCCTGTCCCGCCAAATGCGGGACGTCTGGTCACCCTAGCCAATGGATTGACCGGTACAAAGTAAAGAGACGGCTTTCCTTCTCTTCTCCCTGCTTCCCCACCTTCCCTCGTGCTAGCTGCTCCATTTCCCATTTCTACATTGCAGTGCAGCACCCAAGATCCACTTTGATGGGGGGGGAAGATAATTTGCCTGGCCAAACTAACCCCATTGTCTCCCCTACATTGGGCTCAGTAGCAGCTTCAATCGGGTCGCTCTGTCAGTGGCGAACAAAACAGCCATCAAGCTGCACCTCCTCCTGCCACCAAGCGTGCCCAGTCTTGTGTGGCTTTCCTTCGCTCGTGCTGTTTCCTGCTGTTTCCTGCCATTTCCTGCTTGCCACTGAATGCCGGCTGAATATGCCTCACCCCATCTCCTCCCAGGCCTCTTGCTGATGGCTTCCAGGCACTTCTTCTCCTTGTAGCACTGACCTCCTTGGCTTTTGAAATTCAGCACTGCTTCTCCGGCTGCCTAGCCCGAGCAGTTGATGGATGCTGGATTTCAAAAGCCAAGGAGATGGAAAGCAACTTTTCAAAGCAAAGGAGGCAAGGGAGGGAACTGCAGGATTAAACGTAAGTTAAAAGGAATCTCGTGATAAAAATCGCCACCAACTTTCCTAAAGCGATTTGAAACAATCCCGAGGGTGGGATGGGGTGCTATATTGAAGTTTCTAAAGTGCGCGTGCTCACACCCACAAACCGCATTGACAGGCCACACTCCACCATATCATTTTAGCTATGCTGGTGCAAAAGGGCTGGTTGCCATGGTGACGGGATGGGGAAAAGGACGCGGAACTGAGGGCACTTGCAGCCATGACTGGCATTCTGTGCGATTGGCTGAATCGGGAAGTGAAGCTTCTCCAAGGAAGCAGGGTGTCATTGCTTTGAGGTGCCAGGGAAGGGAGGGTTCCGTTGCAGACTCCTCCAATAGGAAGAAGCATTCATTTAAAAAAAAATTCAACTCATCTCAAAACAGATTGTGTTTTTTCCCTTGTAACTGAGCCTCGCTTCCTTCAATCAGGGTGGGAGAAAAGCACCACAGTACATGACAATTTAGATATGCTCAGAGGCACTGAGGTCTCCATCATGCTGTTTTGGGGGTTTTGCTTCTGCCACAGCCTTGGAGAACGGGTGTCTGAGTTGACACTGCTGTCTGCCTTTTATCTGCTGCAGGGGAACATTTTTTTTTTAATAGATTGGAAAATAATATGAGGGACTCTTGAGGAGAAAGCCCTGCACATTTGTGATGTTGGAATGGATTATATGTCAACTCCTAGTGACCCTATAGATTTTAAGTGTTGGAATTAAGTATTTGCTTGTGGTGACTGAGAGCAAACGGTATTTAATGGCAGTACGTTAGAAGTACCTTAGAATAGAAAACAACTATTTTTGGTGACAAAGCTTTATGAAAATAAAAATATTGCACTCTGTTTCCACACAGTTACTTTGTACTGTATTTTCCAATTATATAAATAAGCTTGTGTGATAACTTTTCCTACAAACTGTTCATGTTGACTATTTTGATAAGCTCAATGAATTTGCAGAAAGGGTTCTCTGAGAAGAGTGGATTTGCAATATTAAAAAAGAAGACAGAGAATGGTGATTTAATGACTGATCTATATGCTCTACCAATTATCTGAGGGTCAATGTATGCTTGTATATACCTCGCTAGTTGCTTGGCAATTTATCTACTCCATCAATATTTATATATTCTTCAAAATATGTTTAAACTTTTTTTTAATGGGAAGCTGACTTGCCACAAAGCAAAACACCATTGTAAATGAAAGATAACCATCTTACATAAAACTTATCAAAATCCAATAAAACAATTGTGAATAATCTTTTTTCTCTCAAAATCTGCTTTTTCACAAGATGAGAGGAGATATTCTTATATTAGGATTATTTTCCCTGAGTATCTGCACTGCACATACATCCTACTTCACAGTATTATTTTTAATTTTAGGACTTACCAGTTACATTGTTCAAAACTTCTTTCAAAACACTGAAGCTGTGCAATAGGGGATCACGTTCTTCATCCTAAACATATGAATATATTGTTATATATTTAAAGCTAAATCCTCAAAAGAGAAAATGAAGATTTTAATCTCTTCAATGGCACATTATACAAAGGTATGACTATAAAACCATTTTTTTCTGAATATTAGCAATTTGCTGTTCTTATTTTTGAAGAAAATGTTTTTTGTAGGAGAGGACAATATATGATACAACTTTAAACTTCAGATGTTTCTACACTACAGAACAATACACTTGAATAGAGCATGGGAAACAGACAGGGTCAACTAGAGATCCTAATCCAGGGAAACAAAGTGATGCATTAGCCATCGCTAGACTTGTTGGGATGAAAACATGGATGACAACAATGTATTCAAAACAAACATATCCAAAAGAAAGGATATTACATTCCTAAAGAAAACACGCATGTGCACAGAAATTTAACAATTGGACCATGAAAATCTTGTCAAAAGTGTTTAGCTAAGAATAAAAAGAGAAACAAAACTAATACATTCAGGTGAGGCAGTGGTGAAATTCAATTTTTTTCCCTAACGGTTCTGTAGGCGTGGCTTGGTGGGCATGGCAGGGGGAGGATACTGCAAAATCTCCATTTCACACACACCCCGCCACTCCTGGGGGAAGGATATTGCAAAATCTCCGTTCCCACTCAACTCTGGGGCCAGCCATAGGTGGTATTTGCCAGTTCTCTGAACTACTCAAAATTTCCACTACCAGTTCTCCAGAACCTGTCAGAACCTGCTGAATTTCACCCCTGAGGTGAGGGTTTCTTTTTCACAGACTATATGAGCAAGCAAAAATATAAATGATGTCTTCCTGCATCCCATTAGTCCTTTGGAGGCATATAACTGGGATAATGAGAGATTTCAATTATCCTGATATCTGCTGAGCACTTAATTTGGTCAAGAATCTAAGGTCCAATAAAATCTGATGATCAAGTGATAGTGTTTTCTACTGGTCCAAAGGAATATCAGATCATGCTCTAGTGACTGCTAAATTGAAATCTGAAAACTCAATTAACTCTAACATTTGAATTAATAAATTAAATTTCATTTGTGTAATATTAAAACACTTTTTTTAAATGAAAGAAATCTATGTTTATCACCTGTTCGGAACTCTTTTAAGGCATACATTTGTGGATGCATGACAACTTTTGCTTCAGAAATCTAGACTTATTATTCTAGAGCAGGGTTGTCAAACTCAAGGTCTGCAGGCCATTTCCCGCCCGCAGTGAGGTCAGATCCAGCCTGCACAGCCATCTTGGAAACTGTAAAGGACCAGCCTGCGTCACTTCAGCCTGACTCATGCCATTCCAGCGGGCGGATGCATGCATAGGAGGCAGGCACTCATGCACACAGGCTGTTTGCTGCCGCCGCCGCCGCCACCATGTGCAGGATAACAAAAGTAGTCTGTGGAACTAAGGTAAAAAAATAGTTCAGGCCTTCCAACATCACGAGACCTTTTCTTTTCATGAGAAGTTGGAAGGTCTGAACTATTTTTTTACCATAGTCCAGGGGTGTCAAACTCGATTTCACTGCGGGCTAGATCAGCATTGTGGTTGTCCTCCTAGGGCCGGGGGGCGGGGGGAAGCAAGGGCATGGGTGGGGTAGTCGCAACTGATAGGGTGTGGCCCAGGGATGTGGGTAGCTTGACATTGTTCCCATGGGTGGTGTTCATATGGGTGGTGCCTGTGGGGGCCGGACGGGATTGGGGAGAAAATCCAACGGTCTCTAGTAGGTGGGTCAGGGAGTGGGAGGCTCATCCCGCGGGTTGAGATGACGTGAGGCAGGGGATGAGGCAGCTACAGCTGGTGTCCCTTCAGCTGCTTTCGGCACCACTCAGTTTCCTATCCCACCCCCAACAGGTGGTCTGGTGGGGGGGGGTGGAGGGGGGGATTGGTGGTGGTGGGGATTGGTGGGAGAGATTGCCTTCCAGCTGCACCATGAATGGTGATCGAATATCCCTCAAGCCACTGTCAAAGTAAATCCCGGGCACTGCGCTACAATGGACAGACAAAAAGCACAGCTGAGTGAGAAGTGCCCCACCAGCCAGGCACTGAAGTACCACCACTGCACCAGAGAAAGAGAGAGCACAAGAGAGCGATCTGATCCAACGTGTGTGTGCGCGCATGCACGCAGAGGGGGGGGGAGGGAGGGAGGGAGGGAGGGAGAGAGAGAGAGAGAGAGAACGAACTTCAGAGAGTTATACCAGGGCTGGCAATGGTGTGCTTCAGTGTCTGGCTGGCAGAGCACTTTTCACTCAGCTGCTCTTTCTTCTCCCTGCTCCTCGTTCTCTTTCAGACAAAAGCTGTGTTTTTCCTCTGTCCATTGCAGCGCGGTGCCCAGGATTTACTTTCACAGCACCGGGGTTGGGGAATGGTCAATCCCAATGGGGGTCGAGCGGTAAACCAAGTGGTGCCGAAAGCAGCTTTCTCTCTCTCACAGACACACAGAGAGGATGGAACAGATTGTTCTCTCGCTCTCTCACCTACCTCATGGCAGCAGCACCAACCATACTCTCCACGGCGGCCTGCACTGCTTCTTCCTCTACTCCCACCTCACTTCATTCGCCTTAGTTCTTTGCCACTTCTTCTCCTTGCTTGCAGCCGTAACAGAGCAGGACGATGAAAGTACAGCAGCCACAAAGCAAGGTGGGGGGGATGGAAGATGAAGCAAGGCAGAGGGTGCAGAGCTGCCCCACCCACTGGCTTATCTGAGGGCCTCGCAGCCAGGCCACCAACTCCAGAAGCCCTGTCCAGGACACTGCATGGCTGCCAGCCTGCTTCTCCTTGCTCACTGCCGCAATGGAGCAAGAGACTGAACAACCACATATGGGGCCCTGGATGGGGCTGCGGAAGCAGATGAGCCAGTTGTCAGGATGTTGATGACCTGGCGTGGGCCAGGCCAAAGTGATGTGAGCCAGCACTTTACAGTTTCCAGGATGGCTGCGTGGACCAGATTTGACCTCATCGCGGGCCTTGAGTTTGACACCCCTGTACTACAATAATATTCTGGAAGTGGTTAATGGACCCCTTCCAGTGTGTCTCTTGCTCCCTTCTTCCCATCTTGTCAATCTTAACTCAATTTTATTGTTAATATTTCTTGTTTTAATGCTTTAATGTTTTATCGTGTGGGTTTTTACAATTGTAAGCCACCTAGAGTCCCTTTGGGTGAGATGAGTGGCACATAGGTTTAGTACATAAAAAAGAAATAAATAAAAATAAGAATAAACTAGGGTAAGTACACAAATGGAATAGTTCTTGAAATGAACTAAGAAAAAATACAGAGAATCTAGTGATAAAGCTGGAAACTTACTAGCCTACCAGCTGAAGTAACATCTAAAACACTATTTCAAAAATCCAGTCCAACATCTGTCAGTTATAAACAATACAGAGCCGAGGTGGCGCAGTGGTTAAATGCAGCACTGCAGGCTACTTCAGCTGACTGCAGTTCTGCAGTTTGGCTGTTCAAATCTCACTGGCTCANAAATGAATTTCAACAACTGTAGAATCAGACTGCAGTGTAACAAAATTGACAAAAGTGAAGGGGACCTGAATACTTTCTGAATGCACTGTATAAATAAATGAATCTTATATTTAGGATATACTGAAAGAAAAATAGCTAAAATAACTACAGATTACTATCAAAAATTGGGATTTATAATTAGCTTGGATTGTAAAAAATACTTGGGATGCTATTTTGCCTAAAATACACTGAATAAAATATATCTGAAGGCATAGATGAAACTGCACTGGGTATAAATTGATTAAAACTGCCTTTGAATCTCAAGATTAATGTAGTCAAATTAACTTGTAGAATGATGCATTTCAAGAAGAATTCCAATGCTAATTCCTATTAGGTATGTTGCACAGATTGATAAGACCCCTTGGTTTCCATAAGCAATGAGGTTGCTTTATGAGAATGGTGGATTTAATTTACCAGATTTTCAAGTTCATCACTGGACTTTTATTTTAACCTCTTATGTAGAATTAATAAATGTTTGATTATCATTCCCTTTGGGCTTGTTGTCAATTTGTGATTCTTCTGAAATCATTTCAAGTTACTGGGTCCAACACAAAAGATTAAAATTGCAAATATTAACATGGGATTATTAATTATTGTAATTTCTCTTAAATACTTAACAATGAAAGATAAATTCTATTATACAAATTTGGATTTAATTAATACAATTCTTCCATTTCTAGTAACTTACCAAACGTACATGAGTACTCCATCTTGCACTGCGTTTTATGGCTCCTATTACTGTATTGATTTCACCTTGTACAGTGTAAATATTCTTATCTACAATCCTGGTAGTCCTAAAACAGAGACATCAAGTTACTATTCCATCCAAAAGGCATATTCCCCACATTTGATCAAATAATTAGAAAAGACATTTTTAGGGACAGTAGCAATGATCTGAATTGCACCAGAGCAGTCTGAATGCACACAAGCCGTCACCCCAGTTCAGCTCTGCCGCACATGCACATGCGCCTCCTGACAGCCAGCTGGTTGTTGGATCTCTGCCATGCATGTGCGTGGGGGCACCTGTACGTGGGGGTCACGGGGCATGTGCGGGGGGGCAGGGCATGTGCAGGGGACATGATCCATGCCTGAATATCTGATAGTTGCAGCGGTTAGTGCTTACAACTGTAGGAGTGCTACAACTCCCTTCCCTACACCAGAGGCATCAGCCAGCTAGGCTTCTCAGAAAGGAGTCAAATGCCTGCAAGCAGTGTGTGCTGCAGCCAGTCTCATTCAGGATGGGTGAGTGGCTAGGTAGGAAGAAAGCCCAAGGCCTATGGGGACCTTAAAATTTTAACAAGATGCTTAAGATTTTTGCTTAAGCATCAAACTGATCAGATTGTAGTGAGAAAAAGTTCTAGATAAAATTCCCATCCTAGAGATCTTATTTAAAGATTCTTAGAAATTCATATTATATCAATTCTTGAAAAAGATACAAGGCATTCTGAAAAAAAGTGTATTCTCTGGAGTATTATACCTCTGTCTCTAAATATCCACAAGCTAGATTGTCCAACATATTAAAAAGACTTAGGTATTTTGTCTTGATTAAGTTTATTTATTTGAGGTTTTATCAAATTGTGGAACTACTCTATTCCAATACCCCATCATGCACCAGTTCTCATATAAAAAGTAATCAACTGGTCCATGAAATGATTAAAGAACTTCATTTTATGCTCATCTGGAACATAAACAGCAACAATTATTTAATAATTAAAGATTTAATCTGTTGCATTTCAACCTCAATTAACATTTTATCTACTGAATTATTACAGTAAATAATAATTTCAGTTTTAATTGTGGATTAATGTACAAAATTACTCTATTAATCTTTTAAACCCACTGATATAAATTCTTTGCTCATAGTTTTATAGATCAAATACTTCACATCTTTTGTCATATTTCTTGTAAGCAAATTACATCTTGTTTCAATTGTCTCACATAGTGATATCTTTTTTCTTTTTTGAGGAGCATTTACTCCATTTATATTCCATATTAAAAATTTGCAGTCTATATTCAAGATAAACATTTATCAAATCCCTTAGCTGTGGCTTCCGAAATATAAATAAGTTAACTAAGTTAATTAGTTTTATTAAACACATTCCTAAAAAGCAAATTTTATACATCATCATATATACCAGTTCTACTGGCAGAACATCATGAAGACATTTAATAGGTTTTAATACCTACAAAAGGAAACTTTAAAAAATTCAAGATATTGCTGAATGACACTTTCAGCAATCCTTGCCAAAGTGAAAAATTGTTGCTACACTGCATGGGAGGGCCTAAGTCTTATCACAAACTTTGGGGCTAAATGGGGAATTTCATGCTAAATTCACGAAAGTTCTAGAAGAGTAAAACATATATAGGAAAAAATGGAGCAAAGAAAAAAAAAAAACCCTCAAGAAACATAAATCCCAAACAACTTGAGTCCTGAAAGAAACAAACAGCAAAAGCAGTTTTATCCCCTCCAATCCCAAAACCAGGTTTTTTAGGCAGTGGACCTGTCAGTGCACTAACAGAATTCCTATTATATCCCAGAAACTAAAGCAACATTTTTTAATATACTAGAGCTATATGAAGTTTTCTCAGTACAGGGATTATTCGATTTCAAATTACATCGCTCATTCTATTTACTAAATTTAACTTAGTAATATCAAGAAATGAATTCATTTTTAATTACTAAAATAATTGACGAGTTCTAGTTTTGTACAAGTAAAATATAAATAAAACAATAATCTGGAACAAGAAGAAAATCTTTGAAATATTCAATAAAGCAAAGAATCATAATTAAAAGTAATCCCATGTAAATTATTGCCCTCAATTTTTAAAAACAGCAGTATCACACCAGCATCAGTACAAGAAGTCTATAAAATTTGAGTACTTTTAAGATTTGTATTTATTAAGAAACTTCTTGAGTGTCAAGTCTCCAGTAAGCTGAATATATCCATTTTACCTTTTAGAATACAACTCCTAAACTAAACATAAATTAGTAAACTTTTATTAGCATCTGTACATATTAACAATATGTCAGCATTGATAACCCTTACTGAATCGCATTTAGTGACTCAAATAATATGACTCAAATGATATAAAACAACCCATCTACTCATCAGAGAGCAACAAATCTTTTTGTGTAAGAGGCCCAACCATGCTATTATGCCTAATTAATAACAAAATAATGCGGGTAATCTTCAATATATGTGCCTAAACAAGGATCTACAATCTCCTATTTGCTAATTTCATACAACCTAAAACAAGCTAAAATAGATTGACAAGAAAACAAAAATTGCAATATTTTACTTTTCACAAAAAGTAACGAAGTAGTCCAATTCGTGCTATAATCGACAGTTTTAATATCCAACAATTGTTTTAAATAAATCAAGATAGTATATAACTAGATTTGAATGAATAATGGGTAGAGCTCATGGATAGACTACAAATCTAATTGAATTGAGAAATTAATTTAACACATTGTAATAAGTCACGACATGGTTCAAAACTAGCCAATACAGTTAACTCAGTACAATGTGATTTTAAAACTATTTCCCTATCTGTAATTTATAATGCGTTCTAGCATTTTTTTCAGCAGTCATCCATCACTGAGGTAATATAAACCTTTCTTTGCTACTGTTCTAGCAACTCAATAATGGCTAGAACTTAGGTAATTCTATCAGACATTGCCAATGGATAGGGAGATATTGTCAATGTATGGAGGAAACTCCCCAAAGTTCTGCTTCTGACTCAGGTCCCTAAATCAAAATCCATACCTAACTGCAGAACAGGAAACAGTTGTCAAAAGCAACATCACTCCTTCAGACCTCAGTTCAAACCAGACAGCTCACAGTTACCTTGCTCCCAATCTCTTCCTACAAGTACAATACTGGACCTCTTTTCCATTTTCCCCCACTCCGGATTTTCGCAATTCCCAAGAAGTCACCCAGCAAAAAGATTTCACGCTCAACGGTGGGGGGGGGGGAGAGACAGCGAGGCGGGTAGGGACCACGTTTTAGCTCAGGGGTCCCCAAACTTGGCAATTTGTGGACTTCAACTCCCAGAATTCCCCAGCCAGCATAACTTACTCTCTTGTAATCCCTTCCTCTGCAATCTCTCCACTTAGATCAGAGGTCTTCAAACTTGGCCACTTTAAGACTTGTGGACTTCAACTTCCAGAATTCTCCAGCCAGCATAATTTACTCTCTTGTAAT